CAATGAGGTGGTAGAACTTTCTTTTGCGAGAAGATATTTAGCTCGTAGGATGTTTTATACGCACGTGGGAGCTTTCGATGTGTCATAAACATGAGTTTACGATCATTTGCTAAATCTGCGTTGAAGCCTGCTCTGAGGAACTGCAATGCCGACAGCCCGAGGGGCTCGTTCAGTGGCATCGCGTGCTTTGAGATATATCGACTGACCTGCCATTTGAATCCATGGGAAAGGATCAATAAAAGAGATATTTGCAGCGAACACCTCAATAATCGATTCTTCATCATAGCTTCAAATGGGGAAATATCGAACATCGATTTCGCACCTCGCCATTGGGCTCGTTTCAAGGCCGCGCAAGTCGGAGCCGCAATTTCATCACTATTTTGGGTATAGATTACCCCCATGAGTGTATCATCAGAAATATTAGAGCCCTCAGGTCCTCCTGACCACTTCAAAACAATCGAAACGGGAACCATTCGCGAGACGACTGATGGTGCGGATGAACATTTTCAGACTTTAACCCCAATCATCAATGAAACATCCCCAAGGAATCTATGCACTGGTAAAAAAAAAGTAGCTTGGATCTAGAGTCCAGAATCTCAAAAATATTGACAAGAAACAATACTCTTGATTCAATCGGATTTTTCCTTGAATCGAAGAGCCAGGCCTCTTGATTTAAGCAGATTTCCATTTGAATCAAGAGTATTTTTTCTCGTCAATGTTTTTAAGAGTCTGAACTCTAGATCCAAGCTACTTTTTTTTACCAGTGTGGGCTGATTATTAAAATTAACAGACAGAGAGCGATAACCGAAGGAGACAAAGAAAAAATGGAGGAATCCTATTGGTGAAGGTTGTTTGTTTTAATGGAAAAAGGAGATAATTGGACATATATCTGCTTAATACAGGGTGATCCAAAAGTCCCTTCCACCCCCTCTAACTTTTTACCTAATTGAAGTAAAGATTTGAAACTTGGGGGATATTCCTAGGTCAAAGGGAGCTACTTTTTGGCCCCTCTAAAATTTTCAGAGGGGCCCTCCTTGGGGGGGGGGGGCAACGGCCCCCAACTTTTAATTTTCAAATGGGAAGACCCCCTTTGTGATAGCTCGTTCGAAAGAACATAAAAAAAGAAAACTTTTCGCGCAAACCCGAAGTCAATATCTCAAACCGTTTCAAAATGGCGGCCGGTTAAAGTTCAAAATGGCCGAAAATTCACACCGGTTATTTGTCGATGGATTTGCGCGAAAATCGGTATGTAGGGGTATTTTGACACGAGAAAAACGAATTTGACGTTAGATTTTCAAAAAAACCGAAATTTCCAAAATGGCCGCCGGTTAAAGTTTAAAATGGCCGAAAATTGTCACCTCGGTTTTTTGCTGATGGATTTGCCTAAAACTTGGAATTTGAGAGTATTTTGGCATAAGATAAACAAATTTGAACTTAGATTTCTAAAAAAATCAATTTTTTGTCATTTTGAACTTTAACCGGCGGCCATTTTGGAAATTTCGGTTTTTTTGAAAATCTAACGTCAAATTCGTTTTTCTCGTGTCAAAATACCCCTACATACCGATTTTCGCGCAAATCCATCGACAAATAACCGGTGTGAATTTTCGGCCATTTTGAACTTTAACCGGCCGCCATTTTGAAACGGTTTGAGATATTGACTTCGGGTTTGCGCGAAAAGTTTTCTTTTTTTATGTTCTTTCGAACGAGCTATCACAAAGGGGGTCTTCCCATTTGAAAATTAAAAGTTGGGGGCCGTTGCCCCCCCCCAAGGAGGGCCCCTCTGAAAATTTTAGAGGGGCCAAAAAGTAGCTCCCTTTGACCTAGGAATATCCCCCAAGTTTCAAATCTTTACTTCAATTAGGTAAAAAGTTAGAGGGGATGGAAGGGACTTTTGGATCACCCTGTAGAACTGTACCCAAGTAGCATTTTTCAACGGAAAACTTGCGATATTTTGAAATTGAGTTGCGACTTTTTTACGATTTGTTGGCGATAAAATCGCTATGACCATCAACATCCGAGCGTTAGTCTTGTCGCAATTTTATCTCTATGAAATCGCGTTCGACATAATCATTTTAATCTCAATTTATCACAATTTTTCGTTCGATATCATATATTTCGATAAATCGCCGTCAATAAAATCGTGATTTAATTGGAAATTTTTACGATGAAATCGCAATGTATCGCAACTCCTTATCGGATAATATTGCAATAAATCGACGTCGATAAAAATTTTTCTAAAAATTTCGGAAACATATTTTGTTTTACAGTGAACTTTTGAAGAGAAACATGTGGACGACTAAAGTGCAAAACCACGTATCTACAAATATAATACATGTGGAAATAAAATTGCGACAAGATCAAGGATCATCGTTAAGATGTTGATAATTTTTGTGACTTTCTCGCGAAAAAAATCGTAATAAAATCGCAACTTAATTCCTAAGTATGGCGATTTTTCCGTCGAAAAAAGCTACTCGGGAAAGCGGTCATGCGTATTGATCCCCGGCGAAGCGGAAGACGAGAGCCGGGCCCGCAACTTTCGAGAGCAACAGGCTGTGTGGAAAAAGGCCCAAATTCCGGTCCGGGGGAGGCGCTTTATTTGGGCCGGGGGAGGGGGGTCAATTCATTAGCCGCCGGCGTGATTTACATTTTCAACTCTTCGACCTTAGCCGTGTCCCTTCCACCCTGGATGCGTCCCGTTTTTGCGCGTAAACGCGACCGAGCGCCTTGCCGCACAGTGGATCCAGTCTACAGGTGAAATCGGAAAAACTTTGGAAACTTTAAACGCTTAAGGAAAAACGCCGTATGAACCTTCAGGAGTTGCCAAATTGGATTGCATTTTGCAAAAAGGAACCAAGAGCATTCCACTGTCGCTAAGATGGTGCAACTTTATTTACCTCGCAAATATAAACTGATCATCGAAACAAGCTTTATCTTTACTCCTAATGAATTATAAATTCAAGGCGAAAATTACCTTCCTAAATTTAATTTTTTGCGTGACCTCAGTAAATTTCTTAAAAAGAATTTAAGTTGCACAATTCTAGCAACATTGGATTGCTCTTGGTTCCTTTTTGCAAAATGCGATCCAATTATGATTGATAAAACACGAATTTCCTGGTAAACTCATGAATATTTTCCCTCCAATTTTTCGGATAATATTGTTCCCGATTTTACCCGAAGTTCCTGATAATTTCAAGGAAAAATATCCACAGCTTTTTTCAAAAATAAACATTTTATCGAATGAAATTTGGCAACTCTTGAATGTTCATACGGCGTTCTGCGATCATATAAAACTTCGAGGTTTTAAAAATGGTTCCTCGTGGAATTTTCAAGTAGAGGCACCCCTCAAAATTAAAAAGTTGACAAATTAAACATCAAAATGATCCACTAGACAAGGTGCGAAGTTAAGGATTTTGTTACATGTTTCTTAACCAAAATTTTACGTATAATACGATTTGCGCAACGAAAATTACCGAAATTAACTCCTAACCAATATATTTAATATTTCTTGACGCATGAATTCAAACCTCCCACTCATGAAAATTCAACGGTCTATGTGAGTCAAATCGCACCTAAAAATTACCATGACACTCCCAATCTTGACGCTTTGGTTGAGCTGTAGCAAGTTGCTTATAGTTTGAACAACATAGGGTGGGAATTGAACAGTGCTGGATTGAGAAGCCTGCCGAAACCGCTGTAGCACCCGATTGGACTCACGATCACGTCGAGCATTGAGCTTCGTGTGATCGGGCAATTCAACTTTCCCGTAACCATTGTAAAATAAAAATCTCAATATCTTAAATAGGAAATGATTTCGGTAATTTTCGATGCAAGAATGGTGTACACTCCAGGAGGCGCAGTGTAGGCAATTTACGCATCGGACTGTATGCGTAACGGTGTAGTGTTTGAAGTATCTCTAAGATGTGGAAGGCGCTATATAAGGTGCGCGCGGACGAACCTTCGATCGCCCGCGACAATGGAGATGTTGCATCTGTAAGGAATTTGCGATTTGACTGTTGATTCATATGTAAAAGTTCGCAAAACTCACGATGGTGCCACTGGTTTTCTCTGAAATCAACTCTTAAGCTCAAAAAGGCTCTCAAGTTGAGGCCAAAATGGAGGGGATATCCCACGCTATCCTGGGAGTCCCACCTCTACATCAAGACAATGCTCTCCATGCAAAGATAGGGAGCAAATACATTGACAGGGCTGCCACTTGATTTGGAGACTCTAAAACTGTAAACACGGCAACCCTGCTAATTTATTTGCTCTCTATCTCAGTCTATCTCAGCATGAAGAGTTTAAGTTGATGTAGAGGTGGACTCTCAGGATAGCGTGGGATATCCCCTCCATTTTGACCTCACTTTGAGAGCTTTTTTGAGCTTGGGAGTTGATTTCAGAGAAAACCAGTGGCACCATCGTGTTTCTCGCGAGCTTTTACATAAGAATCAATAGTCAAATCGCAAATTCCTCACACATGCAACATCTCCATTGTCGCGGGCAATCGAAGGCTCGTCCGCGCGCACCTTATATAGCGCCTTCGACTTCCTAGAGATACTTCAAACACTACACCGTTAAGCATACTCTCCGATGCGACTCTCAGGATAGCGTGGGATATCCCTCTATGTTGTCCTCGACTTTAGACCTTTTTTGAGCTTGGTAGTTGATTTCAGAGAAAACCAGTGGCACCATCGTGTTTTTCGCGAACTTTTACATAAAAATCAATAGTCAAATCGCAAATTCCTCACACATGCAACATCTCCATTGTGTTCTACGTGAAATTCTGGCGAAAAAACATGTATGAGAATTCTTAAATTTGTACCTGGTCTAGTGGTCCATTCGCAGTTTTAGTTAAAATTTCATGTGCGAGCTCTCTGGTTGACTGGGTCCACTGTGCGCCAGGGCACCGTCCCCGTCCCTTTCGGGACATGCTCACTCCGACCCCGATCCCTCGCGCGTCCAGGATGCTGCGGCCTCTACCCCAGTATCCCTGGCAACCTGCGGGAAAACGCGACGCGTTTCGGGGACCCTTCGCGCGCCGTCCCTGCGACCCTCTCGAGCCCCGAACTTGTGGATTCAGTGATTCCGATAATTAGTCGTTATCCCCTCGGTTACCGTCCTGAGTTTGAACGGGGATTCGGATTGCGAGGTACGGACCAGAGCACTGTGTTATGTTTTCTCTGCAGATTTTCCTGTTGAATTCAATCCGCGCTCGGAGAGGGGATTCTATAGGATCGATAGGAATTCCGATTGGATTGCATTTTGCAGAAAGGGACCTAGAGCATTCCGATGTCGCTAAGATTTTGCGACTGTTTTTACCTTGAGAAACTGTCTTTACCTGGTGAAGGAACCAGCGCGATTACAGTATTGTAAAAATGTTGACTTTTCATAACTATCCAAAAAATCTCCCAGATTAGCTAATAGTTTAGGCTGCCCGCCAAAATAATGTGACCGAAAATTGTGATTTTCTGTAGGATCGATAGGAATTCCGATTGGATTGCATTTTTCAAAATGGGACCTAGAGCATTCCGATGTTGCTAAGATTTTGCAACTGTTTTTACCCTGAGAATGTAAACTGGATCGATTTCAGTAAAAAGGAACTATCGCGAATACAGTGTTATAAAAATGTTGACTCTTCATAACTATCCAAAAAATCTCCCAGAATAGCAATAGTTTAAGCTGCCCACCAAAAAACTGTGACCAAAAATTGTGATTTTTTGTAGGGTCGATAGGAACTCCAATTGGATTGCATTTTGCAAAAAGGGACAGAGAGCATTCCGATGTTGCTAAGATTGTGCAACTGTTTGCCATAAGAATGTAAACTGGATCGCATTCGGTAAGAAAGGACCAGCGCAATTACAGTGTTGTGAAAATGTTGACTCTTCATAATTTTCTTAGACATCTCCCGGAATAGCAAATAATTTAGGCCGCCACCAAAAAATTGTTGATTTCAAAGGAAAATAATTCTGAAAATTTTAATACGGTACATATATTATGTATTTGAAAAGAAAATAAGAAGTTGCCCGGTTTTGAAAGCACTGTAAATGCGCTGGTTCTTTTTTGCTAATGTGATCCTGGATTGCATTTTGCAAAAAAGAACCAAGAGCATTCCATTCCAATGTTGTTAAGATTGTGCAACTATTTTTACCTTGAGAGTGTAAACTGGACTTCATTTAGCAAAAAGGAACCAGCGCGATTAGAGTGATTTCAAAATCGTGCAACTTCTTTTCTTCCTTTAAAATTACTTAATATATGTACAGCATTAAAATTTGCACAATTATTTCCCTTTCAAATTAACAATTTTTTGGTGGGTAGCGAAAAATATTTGCTATTCTGGGAGATTTTTTAGATAATTATGAAGAAGCAACATTTTCACAACATCGTAATACCGCTGGTTCCCTCTTGCTAAAGCGACCCGATAATCTATACGTTTTTCCTTTACTTTCAATAAACTGTCATTGAAGTCGAAAATTACCTCTGTAAATTTAATTTTTACATGATTTCAGTAAAATCATGGCAAAGAATGTAAGTAATACAATCGTATAGCAACTTTGAAATGCTCTTGGTTCTTTTTTGCAAAATCGAATCCAATTGATAATTTTCGGATTAAAATTCTCGTTGAGTCAACAGGAAATCGTGTTTCCAACGGCATTACTGTCATTTTAAGGACACGTCCTTTACTTTCGAGATATTTCTAGTGGACTTAATGAGAATTCTCGCTCGAGGATTATTAACTGGAAAATTTTTCTCAGTGGCGAAAAAAAATTCAAAACCAATTTTCGAGAGAGAGCTCCAGGGAGGAAAAAATTCAGTTTACGTAGAGCAATGAACTATTTCGGTTCAAGTGACTGAACCTTTCATTTATAAAACCAAATTTCGGTTCAGCTTACCGAAATTTGATTTCTACGGCTGGAAATTTTGGTTACCTGGACCGAAGTATTTGGTCCGAATTGCCGTATTACTGGAAAGCGGTGCTGACTCCAAAAAGGAAGTTTTGAAAACGTTGACCCAGTCTAGTCCAAGCGGGAAAATTTTATCGATCAAAACTTCCGTTTTCCGTTAAATTGTCAAACATCATTCAGGAATCGTCCAGGTGCTTAGAAATTGACAAATTCTACCTTGCAGTATGTATACAGGATCTCATTCATTCATTACAACACTAAACAAGCCAGCAGCATGTGTTATAAAAGACGTGAAACGACGTCAATTTTTGTGTCATTCACTATTTCCTTATAACTATTATTTCTTTCTGATATGAAGAATTTTGCTCTTCTTTTGAATCATTAATTTATTCTCATTCGAGCAGTCGAATTCTGAAGGGAATCGAATTCGAGATTTTGGTTATCACCGCTTTTTTTCGGTAAAACGGCAGCACGGTCAACATGTTCAAATGTATGTCAATGAGTCTTATAGGTCCCGAGTTTCAAACCCATAAGAGCAGCGCTGCGAATCGATGGCTCAACTTGGAAAACACTTATCTCAAAATGTGACAGTGCGCAATGCCCTCTCGTGATATATTTTTCAAAGGAAAAACAACTTGTTATTATTACTTGAAATTTTCCTCGTACTTTCTTCGTCCGTTACAATTGGACGTATTTCTGCCGAACGGAACTATGTGCATGAAGACATGAGCCCCGAGACCCATAAGAATATATGCATAACAGAGCTCACGTCATAGTTTTGCACATAGTTTTGTTTGGCAGATATACGTCCAATTGGTCACTAGACGAGGTCATAACTAGAAAAATGCCCGTCACATGCTTCCTTTTCAAAATCTTACGTAGGAAACGATCCTAACATCGGAAATTGGTTTTTTTATGGAAAATAGTGCAGAGAAAGTACACAACGAGTGCGTCAATTTTTACTTTGCCGACAGGTTAATCGTCTCTCATTAGGACGTTTGTGCTGAAATCAGACTTGTACGAACAAATTCAGTCGAATGGAATTATGGAGTACACAAATCCAATGCGCATGTTTCCTCTTGGTTTAAATCATTGGTGCATAGGTTCTTTGTAGAATCACGTCAAATAATTCATACGATCAGGTCATACTCACAACTGGGATGACCAGCGGTCATTTGAAATCATGCTAGAGAGCCTTAGCTCTTCACGACGTAATAGTACACTGAGAAAAAACTACAGTTAGAGTGAACATTTGTGATGTGCCACATGAGCTCTCGATCAATTTTCTAGTTAAAATCATCGATAGTACTATTTTTACTACTATGTTCTTAGTATTATCACTACCTACGTTGACAAAAGTATCAATGAATGGTAAAAATACCACACGTTAAGAAAAAGTGACCGAATTTTGTTGTTAATATGGGGAGTAAAATACGAAGTAATATAATTTGTTGGTTAATTTTTCGTATGTGTTAGTTTTCTCTGTGACAAATTGACCAAATTTTTGTGTTGAAGCGACCAAATTTTCGGGTTGAAAATCCACGACCTTGTTGAAATCAGTCGTCAGTCGTCAGGGTCGAACCTGGGTCGCAGCAATGATAATCCAATGCGTTGGCCACCCGCAAGTCACAACTTCAGATTGACGGGGAGGAAAAAAAGAGTAGGTAGGTAGGTACATAAGTTCCCCTGGACACTTTCTTCATGCCTCGATGTTTCAGAGTGACCTACGGTTTTTTAACGGTAATTAACTCAAAATTGTGTTGAGGAACCAAGTCATTTTCGTTGATCTGACACAAAGAAAAGTAACACAAAGTAACATGAAATAACACAGAACACTGAAATTTTTAACTGGGCCGTATCGTTAATTGTGGCTACTATTTTTCGGACCGCGTTTAACAGAAAGGAACCAAGCCACATCACCTCTTGCCAAATGTAACTGGGCAATTTAATTTTTTACGAAAGAACGCTTATGCGGATTCCTTTGAAAATCGTACGAAAGCCTCGCACTATGGAGAAAATTCACGGACATTTGCACGAAAATCCGCACAACCGTTTTCATGTAAAAATTTTAATCGCCCAATTAAATTTGGCAATAGCTGATGTGGCTTGGTTCCTTCCTGTTTAGCGTGATCCATTTAAGAGCTCATATGAAACACCACTATGATGGCAATTTCAACCCTAGTTTTTTCTCGATGTGCAAGGACTGTCCTTCAATTCGACGATGCGTAATGTGAGCCCAAAAAATATTCCTCTTTCCTGGAACCACGAACCCAAGTGTCATCTGTCCTGATTCAGGGTGTAATTTCACTGCGTTCGAGTGTCGTAAAACACGAGTGTACCTTCCGTGTGAGGTGTAATTTCATCCAATTACTCACTTAATTCGATTACACACTCCTCACTTTCGGTCGACCGATTCCCGCAACATTGAACAACTTCACGCTGTTGCATCTGATGGTTGATTGCTGCGCAGCAAAGGACCAACTTTCCATTAGCAGACTTTGACGTGTTGTGAATTCTGTCGTAGACAGTTTTTAATCATCTCTTCCTACTTCCAGTGACTGCCTGATCCACTTACTTAAGTAGTCGGATTTATTTTTCAGTGCTATTTAGTGTAGAATCGATTTTTGACCACTTTACGAAAAGTTTCAATGCCTTGCGTGAGTGTTCAGTATCAGATTCGAGGTTTCCTGTCTGAGGAATACGTATGGTCGCGCTGAGGTAAGATCGCATTATAATACCCTTCGATTATTATCAAATGGATGTGTTTCTCAGTGGCGTGGTGTACTTTGCGATACATCGATTGATCGGCCATTTAAACCTATGGAAAAGGATCTATCTACAGGGTGTTCGTAACAAACACCTTAATAATCGATTCTTAACCATATCTTCAAATGAGGAAATATCGATAATCGATCATTCACGTCACGCCACTGAGCCGTGCTTACGGGCTATATAGACATACCGTCCGCGTTTCGGGCTCAGAGGCTGTAAGTTCTAGGTGCAGAACCCGGAGCAATCAAAGCTACGGCTCCGGCACCCGGAACTTTCGGCCGCTAAGCCCGGAACGAACGGTATATCTATATAAAAGATAAACTTTAACCTGTAAACTTTATAGACATACCGTGCGCGTTCCGGGCTCAGAGGCCGAAAGTTCCGGGCACAGCATCCGGAGCAATCGAAGCTACGGCTCTAGCAAACTGGAAAAAATATTCGCTGGAATTTAGAGCCCAGACGCTTATGAATACACTGGAAAAAAAACACATTGGATCTAGAGTCCAGACTCTTAAAAACACCGACAAGAAAAAATACTCTTGATTCAATCAGATTTAAGCTTCAATCAAGAACCAAGTCTTTAATTTGAGCAGATTTCCTCTTAATTTAAGCTTAAATCTGATTGAATCAAGAGCCCATTTTCTTGTCAATGTTTTCAAGAGTCTGGACTCTAGATCCAAGCGACTCTGTTTTCCAGTGACCCGGAACTTTCGGCCGCTGAGCCCGGACCGGACGGTATGACTATATAGCCTGTAACTTTTTTTTCAGTATAGTTTTCTGTTGCAAAATGTTGTCCATGTGTGATCATGCTCTCAAATTAAGGAGCGTAAGTTTCGCATTTTCTGGACCAGAGCGATGATGCGTCATTAGGACGTATTTATGCTAAAAGGAGCTATGTGCACAGGGTTTGCGGGCAACATAGTTCCTTTTAGCATAAATAAATCCATTAATTTTAACTGCCAAGAGCGCACTTCAATTATGAATCATTAGGTGCCAACACGGTTAATGAACAGGGCGGATACAGTGATTATTGAAGGTTCTCGTACAAGCTCGCGATTAGTCGATTTATCATCATTTGCTCTAAGCTAGGATGCTCGCAGCAAAAAGTTCAGCAGCATCGATCTGCGCCTTTCTCTCGGGTGAGTTTTCTTTCATCTGCAAAGGAGCTCTTAATGAAAGCAATTTACCCTTCTTGCACTCACAGCTGCCTTTCTTCTCCGCAATTAGGTCGTTAAAACTGAAATAAATTCCAGGCTGAAGTCACAAAAACCGATTATTTTCAAATTGACGTAAGCGCCAATTTCTATTTTGGCGGTTGAGGATTTTTGCCGTGCTAAGGGAAAACACCGTTGGAGCCTCCAGGCGTTGCCAAATTTCCTTTGGCAAATCACTGATTTTTAGGAAAATTTTTGAATATTTTTCTGCCAATTTCTCAGATAATTTTGTGTATAGCTTGATCTAAAGTGTCTGAAAGTTTCAAGAAAAAATATTCTTAAGTTTCCTCTGAAATGAACATTTTTAGCCTCGGAAATTTGACAACTCTTGAATGTTCATACGGCGTTCTTCCTTGACACGGGAGAGTCGGTTTTTCTTCGTTATCTCTGGTATAATCAATCCTGTTTGCTTTCAAAATAGCCTTCTGAAAGAAAATACATTTTTTTGGAATTAGCAGATTGTCAACACTGCGAATAAAATGGTTATTCTTATTCGTCTCGCATCCGCAATTTTGGCGCTTACGCGATTTGGAAAGTGGTCGGTTTTAAGGAATCAATAGCATTTTTTTCAGCGCAATCAACGTGCCTTACGTAAAAATTTTAAGTGTTGGTAATTTAGCCAACACTTGAATTAATTCGTGCGTCGCCGCTCATTCGGTTGTAAGTAAAAACAAGCAGTTCCAACGCCAAAGCGTTGGAGGGCGCTTCTTTAACACTGCGCATGCGAGGAACGTTTTCATACGGCCAAGCGAGAGTATTGCGGACGGACGATGTATAACAAATTGCCTACGTGAAGGTGGTCCGGCAGCAACATACCCGCCGCTAGTCTCTGGAAAACAATAGAAAATAGTAGTTGCGTACGTTGCCAGCGAGCGCGCTGCGAGCGCATCTGTTTCAATTACCTAGCATCGAGTCGGGCCTCTAACTTTCTATTCTTTCTGACATAACCTTAAACCTTCAACCCAGAGCCGCAAACAGCTGACGCTTGACGATGCTGCGCCGAGAAAATGAACCAATCACAAAATAGCACAGTAATACGTCACTAAAATGAAGAGATCACGTGACTGTTCGTGATTTTTTCGAATCAATCTGAAACTACAACCTCGAATATGAGGAATTTAAGCATAACGAAGCCCCAAAATAGTTTAACCGGGTAATACGTCCGTGCGAGATTGTTATGCTTAAAAGCAAAACATTTCACGAAAACTTTTACGAATACCAGATGCAGAAAAAAATCAAATTTTCCCGGGTGTACCAGAATGGCGTCATTACCCATAAGGCAAAACGGTATGTAGTATAGTACATGTTACATCGGGGGAGTCGAACGGCTGGAAAGGGCGCATCTGGTACCCAGAAGCGCCCAATTCGTTCAGAAAATACTCGTATTTTAATTTTCACCTCGTCTGCGTGACGGTCCATTAAAGAATGAAATGTTGACTTCAATTTATTAAGAGCAATTCAATTCTTGAGTGTAAGTTCCTTCTGGAGGCGAAAAGTTTCCGTCGAGTGCAATATTCACGGTTGGCTGTCGGAAGAATGCTCTTTTGCAAAGATGCTGCAAAGTTTTAAGCTCAAAGAGGGATTTCCCCAGTTCGGTCAAACTTTCCGCAACGCTAGACTCTCCCACACAGTGCTGTCTAATCATCACAGCACTGCCATCTTCCCTCTGGCTCTAGGTTACATAGTCTGATGGAAATATTGAAATGAAGTTGCAATTCACTACGGAAAAATTGCATTCCCCCACCCCCCACCAACATGAAGTTGCAATATTCTTACATTCAGGTCAGGAATGCCGATTTATTGATGATCAGTCAAATGAGTTTATCAGACAGTCATACAATTTACAATGCAAAGAAAAATTGCGGTTCATTTCACTTTTAATTACAATGGATTCAAGCAGAGTCGCCCCTTCAATTGGTTAATAGGCAACATACACAACACTTCGATGCAGCAGCACTAATAATTGAACGGATCTAAACAGAGTCAGCCTGACAACAACATCAGACTTTGCCTATTTTCGTGTGTTATTTTTTCAACCAAGAAAAAATCAACATTCGGCTTGAATTTTTAAAAACATATTATTTATAAGCTGGAGAAATATACAAACAAGGCAAAGGTGTTGTGTTTTTTGGCTTTCGCGTTATAAAAAAAGAAACCGTCTATCAAATTAGGTAACGTAAAGTGCAGTTAAATTTATCCAATTCTTCCACGTAATCGCAATTCATTACAACCTGCGTGTTACTTGGACGTATGATATCCAAATGTTACCGAATTTCCTCACATAAATTTAGGATATTTCACATGGAATATTTGTAAAATTGTTTCTCTAAAATTTTCAGAATATATTTGTCCGCAATAAAACCGAAATTTTAAGGGAAATATTCATAACTCTTTTTAAAAATTAGATATTTCATTTGAGGGATTTGGCAACATTCGAAAATTTACACAACGTTTTCCCCATCTATTGATTTCATCATACGTTCTAGAATACAAAGACTCTTCTTCTACAGTCACATCACAATTGGACGTATTTCTGCTAAATGGACCTAGAGACGAGTTGGAAAGATGGGGTGCGCTCGTGGTGAGCTGCATAAGAAACAATGTAAGAGTGGGCGTGATTCCCTTTGGGGAAATAGAAAAGCTGTATTTTTTATTCGACCAAACGGAACTAAGCGCCCACTGTAAGTGGAATTCGTGAGCCGTGGGCACGTGACAAGAGCGTTGTGGACAGGGCTCATGAGTTAAAGACTTATTGTCAGACCCGCGGATTCTCCGTCTGCATTGTCGCCACTGACGTCACTGGCGCTTTATGAGTCTCATTCATTCTTGCGGCCATCGACTAACGAGCAATCCCCTTCTTTCTCACCTGTATCTGATTCCGTTTAAAAGAAGTACATTCAACACTGGAAAAAAAACACATTGGATCTAGAGTCCAGACTCTTGAAAACATTGACAAGAAAAAGGACTCTTGATTCAATCAGATTTTAGCTTAAATCAAAAGGAAAGCCGCTCAAATTAAGAGGCTTGGTTCTTGATTTAAGCTTAAATCTGATTGAATCAAGAGTATTTTTTCTTGTCGATTTTCTTAAGACTCTGGACTCTAGATCCAATGTGTTTTTTTTTCCAGTGAATGAGCATTCTTTTCTGACTGTTAATCGTGCGGAACAAACTGTAGATTAATGGATTCGCGGTGATCAAAGAATGAAGTCATGACTTGGTCAAAACAGAAACAAAATTAAATGCCAAGGGGTCCAACGGCTATACTTTCCGAAGCGAGAAGTCATACCACATGAAATTTTCTCCCAAATGAGCTCTATAATGTTGCTCGTTTGAAAACTAACAATGAACAATGTGTTCCACAACTTCCTACAAACAGTGCATCAATCAGTGGAGCGGCACACTCATGAAAATTTCAGTCTCAGTTCTGTTGTTTTAGGACATCCTGTTTAGCCTGCCGAGCTCAAGGCCCGAAATGGCCGGTCTGTAATGCGGTTAGCTCCCTCAATGGCCAAAACTAAATTAAACCGCTCACAACTTACTCCTTACGGCACTGCAGAGAGTTTCCCGTCGAAATCCTCAAGCCCGACCCCTCGACCGACTTGACGAGAATAGCTCCACTGAATCGGACCGCGTTTAGCAGAAAGGAACCAAGCCACATCAGCTGTTGCCAAATTTACCTGGGCAATATAATTTTTCACGAGAGAAAGTTTGTGTAGACTTTTTTGAAAATTTTAAGGAATTTGCTTCGTACTGTGCAGAAAATCCACAGAAAACACAAAAATGCGGAGAACCGTTTTCATGTAAAAAATTAAAGTGACCAATTAAAAATGTATTTAATTTAATTTATTAAAATATTATCCATAATTAAAAGTTATACCTATATTTTCTTAGCAAAGCCGAATCTGAGACCCCGCGCATACGGCATTGCCAGTCGCTGCACACAAGTCTCAGGAGTACTGAACAAACCAGCCTCAGTAAGTGACTTCATCGGCGCTCCATGGTACATTGCGACTATATTCTGCTGTGCTAAGGAAAAACGCAATATAAACATTCAGGAGTCGCCAAATTTCTCTGAATAGGACATGTAATTCTAACGAAATTTCTGCATATTTTTCCTTATTGACATGTAACTTCTTCGATAAATTCCTAATTTCTCGAAGGAAATTTGGCAACGCCTGCAGGTTCATACGGCTTGCTTCCTCAGCACGGCAGGAATGTACTCTATGCACTGAAAAAAAAATCTCGGTGTATTTACTAAGAAAAGGGTAAAATTACCAAGAATTCAGGGTTCTATTCGATCCCAGTTTTTTCTTGGTAAAATTACCATCTATGGAATTGGTAATTTTACCGAGAAATCTTGGTAAAATTGTTGAACTTTCTCGGTAATTTTGCTGGACCTTGGTAAAAACGCCAATATTTTTTATCGACTGTGGTAGAATTACCAAGATAAAATGGCAAAGTTACCGGGAATTGATTACCAATAAAAGTTGTATTCTTACCTGGAAAAAACAGTAAAAATACCGGTTTTCAGGTAAGCTTACCAGTCTGTCTTGGTAAAATTACCAATAATTGGTGCCGATAATTTTTTTCAGTGTGGTCTCGGCTTTTAAGCTATTTTTTAGTGCGAGGGACATTAGTCTTAATTTCATTTGGAGGTAGCGTATATTTAGTTCCCATGATTTGAACCCATTGCACTGCATTTAGTGGGATGGCATCGTTTTTTTTTTGTTGGACGCTTGACCCAATCTTCGAGATGGCGCAGACATGTGGCCAGTGCGTGCGTTTCGTAAAATGAGTGGTCGACCATTTTCCCCACTGGTCGCGCGCGGACGGTGCAGTTCCAAGTGGCGTTTATTCTCCGGCAATCCGGGTCTTTGGCGTCCGGGCAGTTCCAGCGTGCGTCCTGCGGTAGTTCCTCGAACTTGTCGAACAGTTGGCGGCATTTTGTCTTGTGGGTATCAGAGGGTGCGGTGATCTCGTCTCCTGGGTAGCACGGGTCCCGTCCGGTCAGAAGCTCACGCAAGTCGACTAACGACCGGTTGTAAAATTCGTCATCATCTTCGTCCGTTCCTCCAGTCACCAACTATCCCAAAAAAGAGCCGCGTTAATAATGAGCCTGTGGCATAATCAGAGACAAGAGACCCTCTAGTAGTACATATATATTGGCTTAGGTGGAAGCTTTTACTGTCGGGACTGCTGTTGACTTATACCTACATGGTTGAAGTTTAACAACGTGTTGGCAGTTTCGTTTTGCAAACAAGCCGAAGTTTGGGGAGCTTGTTTGGCTCATGACGTCACCCGAAGCTCATCATCCACCATCAGGGCCGGCTTTTCCTACTTGCCGCTCATGGGTCGCCTGTGTTTTGCTGCCCCCTTCTCATTCGTTTTGAAACATCGATGAAAACCATCAAGTGAACGTGCCACCGGGGGAGGGGTGCATATGATGCGTTTACTCGTGTTGAACACATTTTTTGGGAAAGCCCTGTCAACACTACTAGCAAAAGGCCGCGGAACTTCGCGTGAAAGTCAAGTTTCGTAAACCTACCTCTAGTGGACAAGGCCTTCCATTCAAAAGAAATGAACGAAAAAATTATGAAAGAAGAAACACAAAATTTGGTTTAATGATTTTAACTTCCGCCGCCGCGCCGCGCCGACCACGCAGTGCAATGCGTGAAGTATTCACGCTGGCTTGTAGGCGGTATGCGTTTCACGCTTACCGCACTGTGTTTGGCGCAATGCGTGAAGTATTCATGCATTCTTGTACGCGCTATCTGTTTCACGCTGACCACAATGACCGCACTGTGTTTGATGCAATGCGTGAAGTATTCGTGCAGTCTTGTAGGCGCTAGTATGTGTTACATGCCGATTGCTGCGCCGAGGGCTTCTCCTTTTCATCCCAAGTCCTCGTCATCATTTCTCCTTAAGTCGCGCTGTTCCAGGCCAAATTGTGTGTTTGGTTTCTTTCTTAACTCGACTAATTAAAGGTGCTGTCTCTTGTATCACTGAAAGACGACAAAATTAGAAATTACTCTACTCTCAGGAAATGAGAGATTTCGTCACCTTTTCTCGTTTGTAATTTTTTTTTTTTTCTAAATCCGATTTTTTTTTGTACCTACATTTAAAAAAAATTGCAAAATTTGCCGCCCTCTAGATTTGCCGCCATGGGCTGCGGCCCATGTGGCCACCCCCTTAATCCGGCTCTGCCCACCATAAAGGTAGGTAGGTCAACAGCCGAAATAAGAGTGATGACTGTTGCTCCCGTATAATTGTCCATAAGGAATAGTTGAGTCCCCGACAGTAAAAGCTACCTCCTATCGCCAAGAGGCCAGTTGAGGGTCTCTTGTCTTTGGGTATAATTATTTGTTTCATTGCTTGTATCGGAACTGATTAAGGATCCTGATGTCACACTCGCAAGAATTTTTCCGGAGGTTTTTGGTCACTGGAAACTCCCGAAAAATCAACTTAAAACCGGAATTGTTTAAATTGGTCTCTCGGTGTCTCTTGAATAGCCTAAAACTGATGAACCAATCAGAAGGCGACACACACATGACAATACTCACATTTTATAGTTTCTGTAGATGCGTCGAGCAAAAAACAGCAAAAAAATAAAATTTCAAGGGATATAAAGAAAACTCGAAAGACATTAGAATCAACATGGTCCTACAATGGTCCGTCTTATCAGGTGGACGGTAGATGGTGCCTGTCTCATTCTAGATCAACCAACTCCTTTTAATTCGTGCTGTCTATGGGAAAAATAACCTTAGCCCGTATCAGAAGTGCCGTTCTTTTCAAGTTCGGTCAGAAAATAGGATTTTCTGACCTCGGATTTTTAACTATTTATTTTTCTAGAAAAGTGAGCACACTCCATCAGTACTGTGCCAAACTAGCATGAACATTTGATATAAAATTAATCTCATATTTCTCTGACACGATTTTTTTGTCATTTAGCCACACACGTGGCATCAATGATTCGCATAAACGCACAATAATTCTTCACAAACATTCCATACTCATATCTAACTAGTTATTTGTGTCTTTAATCTCATTCGGGTCCCTTTTAAACGTATTTGATTCAGGATTTTGCATTTTAGAAACTAGCAGAGTATTTTAGTGAAAGCAAAGGTTAAAGTCGATGCTCAACGCTATTTGCAATTACCAAAAATGATCAGGCCCAGAAAACCCATTTTTTCAATACGTCATACTACCATAAATGATTTTCTTTAATAATGACTGAAATTTTTAGCATCGAATACCAACCCTTGTAAATTTGTCCTTTAAGAAATGCCTGCAAGAAAGCTTGATGTTTATGATTTAGGTCTCGCGGTGTTCCCCATCGGTTTCTTCCGTTTCTTTTGCTTGCCGGCTTGACTCGGCACAGATTTTGTGGTGCGGCTGCTAGTCTTTTCTGGAGCTTTCCCGATCTCTTTCGGTACCACAGTGGCGCCTCCAATCGCGATAGTGCTCCTTGCAGCAGTGCCCTCCTTCTTCCCCTTCGCCGAAGCTGCTCCAACCGCGACAGTGGCGTTGCTCACGAGGTGGTCCCAGTTTTTCACCGTGGTGACGGACTCTTGCTCAATGAGCTCCTTCCACTTGGTGATCGTCTTTAAGCAGGAGCGAAGCGCCACCGTCTCCAGTTCCTCCTTCTTGGGGTCGGCCAAGTTCTGGGGGTTGATCCTGACCGTGCAGCGCCACTTGTCGTCAAGGTGCCTGCACTTGGCGTCGCGGGCGCCAGGGCAGCGCTCCTGGTACTCGGATGGGATCGCGTGGAAGTGGCGGAGGAACATGGCGCACGATTGGTGGACGTAGCGCACGATCTCGCTGTTGTTCGTCTCGGAGATCTTCCGGCACTTGTCGTGGCCCTTGTCCAGGCCACGCAGGTTCTTGAAGTGCCAGTTCCACGACTTCGCTACCTGAAACCGTTCGTCGTGCATGTTATTTTGATCGTATTTCACTTTACGGCCGTGCTAAGGAAAAACGCCGTATGAGCCTTCAGACGTTGCCAAGTTTTCTTCACTGGAAAAAAAAACACATTAGATCTTGAGTCCAGACTCTTGAAAACATTGACAAGAAAAAGTTCTCTTGATTCAAGCGGATTTAAGCTTAAATCAAAAGGAAATCCGCTCAAATTAAGAGGCTTGGTTCTTGATTTAAGCTTAAATCTGATTGAATCAAGGGTCCTTTTTCTTGTCAATGTTTTCAAGAGTCTGGACTCTAGATCCAATGTGTTTTTTTCTTCTTCAGTGTTTGATAAAAACCGAAATTCCCGGGAAATTTGTGAATTCGTTTTCCCAAAATTTTCAGATGATTTTGTACACAGTTTAATTTAAAATATCTGAACATTTCAAGGAAAAATGTGCATGCATTTCATCAAAAATACATATTTTACTGAGGGGAATTTCGCAACTCTCGAATACTCATACGGCTTTCTTCCTCAGCACGGCAGTGCAGGTATCCAACAGGGATTTTAAGGAAATGGAACTCTTGCACGTCTCAGGAATTTGCTAACTAAGCACTCATTTCTATGTAAAATTTTGCGAGAGACACACTGCGATGTTGCCGCTGGTTTTCTCTGAGATCAAATCCAATGCTAAAAGAAAGCTCTCAAAGTTGAGGCAGTAATGGAGGGGATATCCCAATAGTGAACACTAGAAATACCTTTATAAGAAGAATGAAAGCCACTGTGTCGTGTTTATGCCACTCTCTGATTGGCTCATCAGTCTCGGGCTTTTTATATATTTATTGAGAATTTGTTAATTTTCGTTTCCCCTCGAAAACTCATTCAAACGTTCAGTTTAGTCCTTCCTTAGGAAACTAAAGAAGAAATAAACGGGTAGAAACGTCCAACATCTGAGTGATCGGAATATCTGAAAGTTTGTTTTGTACGTTGAGTTTTTTGTGGAACTTGAGATTTTCGCCACCATACCTAGAAATTAGTCTTCATTAGACTTTATTCACACTTGAATTTCCGATTAAAACTATTCTGTTCGCTCGATACGAGTGCCTGACTTGTTTTCAATTTCACTTTATCTCGGTAACGTTCATTTTGAACAAAATTGTGCACTAACTTACCGAGTTAATACCGAGCCAAACTTACCGATTTAAAGTAAAGTGCGTTAAACTTACATTAATAGTCAAAGCAAAACTCACTACCAGGAGAAATAATTTTTGGTTCATAATTAATTTTTGTTCGGTGAATCATCCGAGAAATTAAGAACAATTTCCACAAATTAGACACTCTAATTGACAATCAAACTAGAAAAATTCTGGGATTTTTAATACTCACATCAAAGTCATAACACTACACCATGAGGAAAGAGGGAAAAGAAGCTCTACGAGATGTTACGGATTACATCATTGAATTCTTTCAGCTTGAAGTGAATGTTTTTGATTAACGAAATGACGATTAATGAAATGACGAAATGATAAGAGCAGATGCGATCCTCTCAAGTTGACAACACGTGTTAGTCCTCTATACAAATCTATTTCAAAGAATCGATCCTTGGTGTGGCAGTTTGTCTCGCATATAATCGATTCATATCGATTATTTCACACAGATTTAGATCGATAAAGCGAATTGTTGCCAACCTTCAAAAATCATCACTAGATAAGAGAATATAATTGGAAGAAGAACATGATTGTAATATTTTTTCATCAAAGGAAAGTTGGTAACATTCGTGTTTTTCCTTGGGACGGCAGAATAAACTAAATTAGTGGATTCAAGCTCCTCCTGAGAAAATATAGTTCGGTGCACCACACTAAGAGAAACATTTCGATCACGAGGACTAAATTCCAGTTCGTCTGAACACTAAAGGGTTAGATTCGGATAACTAAGTTTCCGGTAAGGGTAACTGATCGAACATTGGTTTACATAATTGGAATGTTCAATAAAAAATACTCAGTTGTAAAAAAGTATGTATAAAAAAACCTTCAGGTTCATGCACTAGTGCTCAGTTCCACATTTAAAACATATTTTAGAAACCCGGATTGCTGTCTTCCCAAAAGTGCAATTTACTTTCAGAAGTCAAAGCTCAGATTCGATACATGATTCTTGATCATTACCAACGAGTTGAGATATTGGTTTAGGCATCCGAACTTAATTTGCAAAAAAATTCGTCCGGTAAAATGTTCATAGCGACATAAGTTTCCATTTGGTGAGGTTTCTATGAGCTCATGCTCAAAAGATTGATCAGCAATCATCACATAGCCTCGCTCTCCAAAAACTTCTGCTTCGCTCAATTACATTGCTTCGAATGTTAAAACAATATATTTAAAGCATATGGGACAGAATCTGTGACAAGAGACCTTACCTTCCGGTAGGATACAGGCCAAGGGAGCCGAATCAAGGGGAAAATTTCAAAATTGGTGATTTTGAGTTCTCATTGGGAAACACAAACCTAGCGCGGTTGAAAACGCCTTCAATTTTTGTGATACTTCGTCACCCACACCGGAGTTAAAATATTTGTATCAAAAATCAATGTGCGCTTGGATACCTTTACGTGGGAGCTTTCAATCGCTAATCGAACATTCATGAGGTGTCGCGTCTTCTCGACTTTAGTTGAAAAACCCGTGATGGAAACTATTTGCTTAATTTACAAGCTTCTTGCAAACGTTTCTCATTTTTGTGAATTCTGACTTAAGTCTTCAACGAAATGACGAGGAGATGCTGGCTCATTCGACCTGTGTACACGATACGCGTTTTTATTATCAACGAGAAACTGTCATCAATCGAAAACGCCTTCAATCCCGTATGATACTTCATCACCCACACCAGAGTTAAAATATTTGTATCAAAAATCATTGTGCGTCTTGAAAACCAGCTCGCAGGATCTTTCAAGCGTGTATCGAAATTCATAAAGTATCGTCTCGCACTGAGTCAAAAAACTCATAACAGAAATCGTTTCACGAAATTCCCAAATCTTCTCGCAAATGTTTAGGCCAAAAACTAAGCGCGGTTCTGATTTAGTTTTTTCACCACGGAGGGCGCCAGCAACTTCTATTTGTGCGCATGTCAGAACTATCGTGACTTCTGGTAATTATTGTGTGCTTTTTCAGCCTCGTCCCTGCCTTTTCCTGTCTATTATTATTCTAAGTCAGAACTCCTATTCTTAATTTAACCAAAAACTTAAGAATTTTGTCTTGAAACTTCAGGGCGTCATATTCTCCTCAATTTTTGGGTTACAGGGTGCATCAATATGAATAGATTCTCTTCCCTTATGCGGTGGTACCAACAGCTCAATTTTGATTTGTGGAAGATAAGGTCTCCTTTCGCAGACTCTGTCAGATACTGTTTCTGCCTATCACTGAAAACTTTGTTAAATAGACTGAAAAATTCAGTGTTTGATCTGAACCGGATTTATTTCCTTTGTAAAAAAATCTAAGCCCTCAATTTTTTAGTTTCAGGGTGTATCAATATGAATAAAGTTTCTTCCCTTGTGCGGTGGTACCAACAGCTCAATTTTGACTTCTCACTGGAAAAAAACACATTGGATCTAGAGTCCAGACTCTTAAAAACATCGACAAGAAAAACTACTCTTGATTCAATCAGATTTAAGCTTAAATCAAAAGAAAACCCGCTCAAATTAAGAGGCTGGGTTCTTGATTTAAGCTTAAATCTGATTGAATGAAGAGCCCTTTTTCTTGTCGATGTTTTCAAGAGTCTGGACTCTAGATCCAATGTGTTTTTTTTCCAGTGCTGGAGGATAAGGGCCCTTTTCACAGACTCTATCACATACTGTTTCTGCCTATCACAGGAAACGTTGTTCAAATAGACTGAAAACTTTAGTGTTCCATCTGCCTCGAAGTTTTTTCCTTCCTAAAAATTCTAAGCTGTTGAAAGTCGTAATAGGTTGGAGCTTCCCGAAATCCCGACGAAGACAGGATGGAAGTCTCGAAGTCCTGAAGGCGGCTCCCGCTGATAAGAATTCAGTGTTTGATCTGAACCGGATTTATTTCCTTTGTAAAAAATCTAAGCCCTCAATTTTTTAGTTTCAGGGTGTATCATTATGAATAGATTCTCTTCCTTTATGTAGCGGTACCAATAACTTAGTTTTGACTTTTGGAAGATAAGCTCCCATTTCACAGAATCTATCACATACTGTTTCTGCCTGTCACTGGAAACTTTGTTAAAACAGACTGAAAACTTTAGTGTTCCATCTGCCTCGAAGTTTTTTCCTCCCTAAAAACTATAAGCTGTTGAAAGTCGTAATAGGTCGGAGCTTCCCGACGAAGACAGGATGGAAGTCTCGAAGTCCTGAAGGCGGCTCCGGCTGATAAGAATGCACTCATCCGAGCAACTTGTTGAGCGTCCCGACCCGTCTCCTCTGTTCCCTCAGCGAATTGTCGCTTAGCCTCGCAAATTACCCGTCCCTGGAATGCCTAGAACTTGAAGGGTCGTGACGGAGAAGTACCCTACTTTACGCCCGGTTGAAAATCGATTCCCTCCGCCCGCGTCTAGCAGGTGAATGGACCACTCCGCCGTGCAAAGGAAGAACGCCGTATGAACATTTGAGAGTTGCCAAATTTGCTTTGGCAAAATGTTTATTTTTGAGGGAAATTATGAATGTATTTAGACTACTTTCAGTAAAACTTTCGGCTCAGCCGCTACGAAGCTCATTTTATCAAAACTTTAGTTTGGCATTTACGACACCTCACTTTACTCGCTATTACTTTTTGCCATCGCAGTGCTGCCGTGCTAAGGAAGAACGCCGTATGAACATTCGAAAGTTGCCTAAGTTCCCCGAAAAAACATGTATTTTCGAGGAAAGTTATGCATATTTTCCTTTTAAAATTTTCAGATATTTCGGATTAAATCGTGAACAAAATTGACTGGAGAATTTGTGGAAAAACATTCACAATTTTCTCGGTAAAGTCGGTTTTTCTTGGAGGAAATATGGCAACGTCTGGAGGCTCATAAGGCGTTCTTCTTTACGGCGGTAGAATGATGCCCTCTTCGGTATAACGCTGCAGGATATGTCGATGCAAAGTGTAGGGCCGGATTAAGGGGGTGGCCACATGGGCCGCGGCTCATTAAGGCAAATCTAAAGGGCGGCAAATTTTTGCAATTTTTTTATATATAAGTATAAAAAAATATCGGATTTAGAAAAAAAAATTAAAAACGAGAAAAGGTGAGAAAATCTCTCATTTCCTGAGAGTAGAGTAATTTTCAATTTTGTCGTCTTTCAGTGATACAAGAGACAGCACCTTTAATTGGTCGAGTTAAGAGAGAAACCAAACACGCAATTTGGCCTGGAACGGCGCGGCGCAGAGAGCAATGATGACGAGGACTTGAGATGGAAAGGAGAAGCCCTCGGCGCGGCAATCGGCATGTAACACATATCAGCGCCTACAAGACTGCACGAATACTTCACGCATGGCATCAAACACAGTGCGGTCATTGCGGTCAGCGTGAAACGGATAGCGCCTACAAGAATGCATGAATACTTCACGCATTGCGCCAAACGCAGTGCGGTCAGCGTGAAACGCATGGCACCTACAAGACTGCGTGAAAACTTCACGCATTGCGCCAAACACGGTGCGGTCTGCGCGGCGCGGCGGCGGAAGTTAACCCTTTATTGCATAGCGTTGCATGATAGCAACAAATGGTTTTCAGCTTTATTTCTATGCTGGAGTATTAAATTGAATCAAAGCAAGAAATGATTTTTGGAGAGCATTATAAGTCTGATCTCCTAACTTAAAAAATTACTACAAAAATTGATTTCAACTTACTCTATTGTCGAAAAAATACTCTACAATGTAGATTTTCTCACCGAAATCAACGATTAGCTCATGCAATAAAGGGTTAAAATCATTACACCACATTTGTGTTTGTTCTTTCATAATTGTTTCGTTCATTTCTTACTAATGGAAAGCCTTGTCCACACAGAGATAGGTTTACGAAACATAACTTTTGCTAGGAGTGTGGACAGGGCATTCCCAAAACATGTGTTCAACACTAGTAAACGCGTCATATGCAATGCACCCCTCCCCTGCTGGCACGTTTACTTGATGTTTTTTATTGATGTTTCAATACGAATGAGAAGGAGGCGGCAAAATACAGGCGGCCCATGGGCGGCAAGTAGGTAAATCCGGCCCTGGCAAAATGCCAACAAAATTGACTGAAGAATTTGAAGAAAGACGTTCACAAATTTCTCTGTAAATTCGGTTTTTCTCGGAGGAAATATGGCAACGTCTGAAGGCTCATACGGCGTTCTTCCTTAGTACGGCAGAGTGATGCCCTCTTCCTCTTCGGTAACGCGGCAGGATATGTCGCTGCAAAAT